GGCCCTGCTCTGAGCCTGACCAGGGGCTGCACTTAGGGATTGGGCCTGCCCTCTGCCACCCGGGAGCAGGCCTAAGCCAGCAGGTCGTTATCTGCCGAGGGGTCCCAGACTGTGAGAGGGCACAGGCCGGGCTGGGGGACTCCCCTCCCCCGCCCCCTGAGTGCACAAATTTTTGTGCACCGGGCCTCTAGTCCTATATAATAAAAGCCTAATATGCTAAGTGCCAGGATTCTTGTTCCAGCATCTAGAAGGGTTCAGCAATCTGGAGAAGGGCTGTGTGTAACTTAATAAAGAGTCCAGAGATGAAGCATAATTTTGAAAGGCATTATAGGGAGTCAGAGGAGCCTAGCTAAAGAAACTAAAATCTCCTTGTCTCAGGACCCCTTGCTATTTATTAACACAAATTGTCCCAAGGTGAGGTGGAGTTATACACTTTAAAGGATAGGGTTAGGTACAGAATCCATTGTCAGAGTGGAAGAATTTGTCTATGGCTGTTCAGGTGTTTGACCAGTAGGAGGCAATAACATGTATATTAAGATGCCCTGAGCTGTCTGGCAGCAAGCAATCATCCCTTTTCAGGTTTGGGAAAATGCCTTTAGCCATTCCCACCAGGCAATAACATATGTGGCTCAGCCCTTGTTGAGTCCCCAAGTTCCATCAACCTTTTGATAAAACTCTTGCAATTATGACATGCTGGAATTGGCTTCCAGTGCTAAGTGTCTGGTTGACTGGTTGGCCGTTCAACCAATCAAAGTGTAATGCACTAATGATATGCTAAGGCCACTCAACTGCTCATTATGACATGCACTGACCACCAGGAGGTAGATGCTCTGATCAGTAGGTTAGCTTGCTGCTGGGGTCCGGCTGATCAGGACTGAGCGAAACAGGCTGGGCATACCCTGGAGCCCTCCCATGATCCCTCCCCAGCTGGCCAACCTCCTGCTTCCCTCCCCGTGGGGTCCCTCGGCCTGGCCTGCACCCTCTCGCAATCCGGAACCCCTCAGAGGATGTAGGAGAGCCGGTTTCGCCTGATCCCACAGGCCACGAATTCATGCACTGGGCCTCTAGTGATAGAATAATGTAGAGAAATAAGTATGAAGAGAGAAAGATACAGAGGGAAATGAAAATCAATAAATTGAATTGGGGGAGACACAAAGAGAACTATGTTGAGAATGAGGAAAGAATAATGAATGGAGAACTGGTAGAGAGTGGGGCAGGTAGAGAGAGAGGACCAGGCATTGTATGGTTTGAGAAGTCACCACAAAGAAGGCACACAGGAATGTTCCTAACCCCATTGAGAAGGTAAGGTGTCCACAAAATAAAAATGGTCCTGGAACCCAGTCAGATAAATATAGGCCCCTCCCCAGGAAAGTGCAAATAAAAACCCACAGTTAATAGAGACACAAAGAAAGGACAGAGTTGAACAGCAGGAAAGGACAGAGTTGAGCAGCTACCTCACCATGGAAACCAAATCAATATCTGCTCTGTACACCTGGTGGATACAAAGAAGGAAAAGCCATTTATTAATTCAGGAGTTGAATGGGAAACCCAAGCAAGGAATGACTGTAACCAGGCATCTGACACAATAGGCAAGACTGCCTGAAAGAATGTGTGATGTGAATCCCAGTCCCTGGCAAGGATCTGGGACGTGACATCAGAGCCCATGGAGACAGTCCTGGTGGCCTTCATTAGAGGTAGAGAGGGGAGGGAACAAGTGCTTTAAGCAGTGTGTTCAGCATAAAAAAGTCCCCAGTCACTGGAAAATTACACAAACACAGAAATGGTTGGTTTAAGCATTGATGTCAGAGAGACTATTTCTATGCAAGAGAGGAAAGTGATGGGTGTAGGAGTCAAAGAAAAGGAAGAAAAATGAAAAGCCAAGATATTCATTAGAGGAGAGAAAAACAGATAATGCAGAGAATGAGAGTTATAAAGTGATACTATCACCAGGCATAATTAGTGAAAATTATTTGAGCCAATAGAAAAGTGAAGAAGTAAAATGAGAATGAAACAAGAAGTAGAGAGTGGGGCAGGTAGAGAGCAGATTGTGGATTGGAAGTAGACTGAGGATGGAGGTAGGAGATAGAGTGAATGTGGGGGTAAGAAAGTGCTGCAGGATCGACAAGCCTGCCCTCTGTGCATGAATTTCACCACCTTCTGGCTAGGACCTGGAGCAAACTGAAGGTCACACACATCAGGCACAGACCAGGGGGACCTGAGTTAACTTAGCTTCTAGATCTTCCTTGTGCTCTCATCAAGGGTTTCCTCTCTGTGGCTTCCTTGGCCTCACCCTGAGAAATTAAGGGATTTTTCTCCTCTGTGTGATGAATAGCCATGAGGAATCTGCAGAATTTATTGATGAAAATGAGGCCCCAAATTTTTCACCTCAACATTGAAGCAGGGGGAGGGGGCAGTTAAGAAAGATACAGGAACCTAAATTAAGAGCTACTATTTCCTGAGGTATCAATTCTGACTTCATCCTGTACCATGGATCCAGTTTATCCTGGAATCCCATTCTCTGCATTATAATAGTTTGGGGATGTGCAGGGCAAAAAGAAATGATTATATTTATATTTTTTAAAATGAGGCTACTTATTGATAGGTCTTATAAATTTATGCATCAAACTAGAGGCCCGGTGCACAAAAATTTGTGCACTCGGGGGGCGGGGGAGGGGGAGTCCCCCAGCCCAGCCTGTGCCCTCTCACAGTCTGGGACCCCTCGGGAGATAACGACCTGCTGGCTTGGGCCTGCTTCCGGGTGGCAGAGGGCAGGCCCAATTCCTAAGTGCAGCCCCTGGTCAGGCTCAGAGCAGGGCCAATTGGGGAGTTGGGGCGCCGCCCCGTCATGTACAGAGCAGGGCGGATCGGGAGGTTGGGAT